ATCTGTGAAATGTTGGCACATGATTTGCCTGTTTTAAATCATGGTGCACACACAACCACAATACACTCTTTATTAAAGGCTAACTCTCTGAAATGGACAGAATGTAGATTAACAGCATCCCCAGAGAGACTGACAAGTGCTACATTCCTAACATCCTATTACTGACAGTAGCCTGTTACACTGGGCCATTGGAGTTATCTACACACAATCACAAATTGTGTCAAAGGAACACGTACAAACATATGAAATATGCACACAGAAACATTAATCTGGGCATGTGGGATTGTCACCTTCTTGCCTGACCTTCCCTCTTTGGTGTGTCTAAGTGGGCTGCAGGCAGAGGAGCACTATGAGATGCGGAGGGTGGACAGATGGCAGAATCACAAATTTGGCATGTCACATGGTCAAATGGGGGGAGATTTATGACTGATCAGGTTCCACATCGGCAGCATGGTGCTGTGGCTTCAGAATGCCAGGTATGGGAGTGAGATCAGGCTCCGGCTTTAGTTTGCGCAACCTTTCTGGCAACTGCAGCCGGTGTGACTGGCTGAAGATGGCAGTGTTATTGATGGTTGACACAGGGAACATGGATTTTAGTTGTGTGTGTGTGTGTGTGTGTGTTTTTACATCTTCCTGGTGTTATAGATTTACATATCTATGATCATGCAGATGTAACACAATAAGTAGAAACACATGCAGAAAACTGATATACATTTGGAGTGTGAGCTAGAAGTCAAAAAGCAATGTGTGCTTATAGTTATGCAGATAGGTAAGGAGAAAAAGAAGTATTACAAAAGAAAAATCCTTTTATAAATGTTCTAAATATTTTATTTCTCCCTCTGCTGTCAGGAGATATGATTTACTCACCAGTGACATCACGGAGACCACAGCTATTTTTATTGGCTGGTACACAGCCAGGTCTTCTCCATGTTATGCCACCTGTCCAATCGGCAACAACCAACATGCCCCTGGGAAAAAAAAGTCAAGCACCCAAAAATAATTGAGAGTTGAAAGGCGGAATATGATACATGCATGCTACTGTACTAGGCATGTTTCAATACGTCAGTGTGTCAAATGTCTTGTCATTGCTACTGATTTGCTATTCCAATTTTATTTTAGTGCAGTCAACAGTTTAACTTGTACTTTCCAAAAATTTTGCAAGTGTATTTAGAATAAAAGGTATCATCCCTCTCCAAAGGTAGGGTGACTCAAATGGCTGTGTGTGTCTTATGCTCTAAGGTGCATTTCGGTCACATGCTGACCAACCCTTGGCCCTGATATATAATAAGTATTGTTGCTAGGGGTGTTGTGTCAGCTCTTAGCAAAACCAGGTTAAAGATAATCTGGTACTTAAATCATTTTTCTAGAATGACTATGTGTATGAGATGACATTGCTGATTAAAGAATATGTTGAAATACATAAAATCTGAAGTGTTAATAAATGCCAAAATCCTTGATTTAAAATGATTATTAAGGATAACTGGAATTAATGCCTACTTACAGAACCACACAAAGGTGTCACTATCAAAAATGAATGAGAGTCGGAGAGTCTAATGCAATCTAATTTGATGTTTGCAAGGATTTTTGAAAGAGCAGGAGTAGGCTTGGTCAGTTTATAAAGAATGACTCACAACTGGGACAACTTAGACAAAGTGACAAAAATCATCAGAACCCCCAGAATTTAGACGGACACCAACTAAAGAACTTTATAAATGAATGGCCCTTTAATATTAACATCCACAAACGGATCAGCAGATGAAATGTTTTGTTGATATGTCTTTTATGTGTATGTGAGTGTGATTAAAAGGAGGACAAATGCAGGACTGGTTCTGGATGGTCATGTGCAATAACTTGCACACCACACAGAAGCTACTCTGGATCTTACTGTCTGATTTAAATCACAAATTCATGACAGTGATGTGAGGAGTCCATCTTGTGGCAGAAGCCTGAAATGGCAAGCAAAAATAATATACATTAGTCTGACCTGGGGCATTGTGCATAATCTTTGTAACAGAGTAGCCCATTTGTACAGTGTAGTATTACTATAAGTGATCTTAGTGGAAGCATTTACCACTGGTAACACAATTACAAGCCTCAGTAATTATAATTTAATAATATGATATTCATTAATGTTAAATGTGCCATAATGAGTACCTTTACTTTTAGTGCTTTAAGTATATTTGAATGCAAAATTTTACTTAACTAACATTTTCAATGTAGGACTTTTACTTGCAACAGAATATTTTTACACTGCGCTATTCCCCCTTTTACTTTAAATGATCTGAGTACCTCTTCCACCACTGCCATAAATTACCTCACAATACTTGTGATAACAGAAATGTCTATTGCGACCCCTAGTGGCCTCCCAAGCTCCAGGATGAGAAACGCAAGTCTGAAGGTGCAAATATTTCATTTACACATGTCTTTATTTTTGGTTATTGTTGTCTATGAAATACCGTAGTTGCCACTGTGAATAGACAGGTAGCCAATTCCGCAGCTCCGCAAGGACAGTGGGGGGGGCATTTCAGCAGTAGATAAAAGCTCTGTCAAGCAAACTGCAGCCCGCCATTGTGTAGAAACCAGGCTCTGTAAAGAGAGAAGGGTGCTTGGCTGAAACTCTTCAATAGCTAGACTAATTCTACACCCTGCCGCTTCTATTCAGGAGTAAATACAGTTACACAGGCTCCGGGGGGGGGAAAGACATGTCAGCCAGCAGCCTTCTTGAACAGGTAAAGAGAGGTATTTTCTGAACATTTACGAGGGCCAAATTTCTCAGCATCGTGACGGCTAGCGAGGATAGCTTAGCTCAGAGGCAGCGGCTGTGGCTCAGTAGTGCAGTAGGCCTGACCACCTGCTAAAGGAACTGACTGCTGAAAATATATCTCATCTATTTTTCCCCTTCCTCTCTTCTCATAAATCAAACCTTCATGAATCACCTGGACCCAATCCAGAGACCGAAAGGCCAAGCTAATAAAGGTAAGAATAAATACTATCTTACACTCTCGACTTGGGCTGAGTGGATGCGGATCTTTTTAAGTGCGGTATGCTTAGGAAATCTTGTGTGCGCGGATGCGATAGCTTGTCTTCTAGCTTCTTGGTAATAAGGCCCGTCTTTGTAAGTTGTAAAGGATTTTACATTTAATGTGCCAGTTAGGTGAAACACAGAGCGACATGATTTAACATAACATTATCGTGTCCTTACTCACCACTCGTGTTTCATTTACATCCCTGAAAATGGCACTTGTAAGTTTTCCGTATACAGCATTAGCTACTCCTTGACTGGCTAATGTTAAATGGCAACATGATAACGAAGACATCAGCATCCTTTTCCTGGTTGTGCTTGAAACGTTTTTATTGCACTATTACGTGCAAGAACACATTCTTATCACACGGTCGTTCTCCATATCAGTCACTATAGGACATTTTTGTAGTGGAGGGCTACAGGTGTCGTTGAAACCCGCCGGCCACTCTGCTAATGTTAGCGAAGTCCGTCATGTTAAAAGGACTCTTGGCGCTTGTTAACATGGAGACCAAGCGCATTGCATGCAGCTAGCCACATAGCTAAGCGTGCTAACGTTAGCTGGGTGCTAGGTCAACCCAAAATGACACGTCTTCCGACATGCTTTCCTATGTCCCAAAAACGGCCTCACTTTTTACCGTGACCATGCTGTACTGTTGCATAACATGTATTTACTAACTTGTATGTAATTTAACGTTTCCTTGCCCTGAATAGCTTTCAGCGGCTTCTATGATACCTAATACAGTAACGCCAGCTATAACAGAGCTGCTAAGCTTATGAAAACAAACCACGGACTACTAGGCACCTGCATTTTAAATGCATTCAATCTCCACCGGAAATATCATTAATCGTGTGACATAATTTTTAATTTGTCCATTTCGATGAGGGAATACAAATGCCATGTCATTAGTAGGCTTTTTTGCAATTTGTAAATACTGCTAAGTGCATTTAATTCTTTATAAGGGCTAGTTTATCTCATTGTGCAAGCTCATGCTGTGTGATTTGAAGCATTTTGAGTAAGTATACTATGATGTGTTATCTTGTGCTCATCTAATAATTGCAGAAAGCGATTCTTATATAACAAGTGATGATGACACCAATATGGAATGATCAGATAATATTTTATATCTAACCCCTTGCATCTCTGGAGTCCCACAAACATTTATGTTCCATTAACATCAGTATTACTTTCTTTTCAGTGCAAAACGGAGCTGTGACCCAGAAGGATACTTTGAATGATGAGTTTGAGCCTTACCTAAATACTCAGGCCAGACAGGTAAGTGCAAGATGTTTGCCCACATGTGCCACTTTTCAGTTGAATCATTTAAGTACCTCCATGTTTTTGTTCCAGGCTAGTCATTAAAAAGAATTAAACTGTCTCACAAATGACTGACGTGGAGTTGAAATCTGTCGACTGTGTTTCAGTAGGCAACTTTGTGTGAAGTGCGTGCGTTGTAGATTTTTCTACAGATAATTGTAGGTAATTCTAAGAAAAAAAATCTTAATTTCTAAAATAAGCATTTTATGTCCACAGTTGTCAACAATAATCCTGATGCTGGTCATGTAATTTGTCTTAGAACGCCCATAATTTCAATACTTGACATGCTACCTTTTGATACAGTGTATAAAAAAATTTGAATACGAGAAGGGAATATCCAGGTTTCATCTAAATCATATAGATGACTTGGTATTAATATGTATAAATATAATATTGGCACATTATTGTGTACATCACTGCAGCTGGTAAAGGTGGAGCTCGTTTTAAATACATTACAAGTTTATAATTTGAGGTACTGCTGGGAATTTTGTGAATTTCCAACCAGGTATCAATAAAGTCTGATGAATATATTGTATTTTGTATAGCTGATCTGATTCTGAAAAGGAACTAGTAACTAAAGTCATCAGATAAATGTAGTAGAGTAAAAAGTACAATATCTGCCTCTGCAGATGCCTCAAAATTGTACTTATTTACTTTACTTAAGTAAATGAAAATTAGTGTGTGCAATGCATATGGATTCTTGACTTGTTTCAGAATTTCTTTTCCTCTGAATATATTATTTCTGCCATTTGCCAGTGTGACTTTTGGTGAGAACATCAACATTTTTCTACTAGAAGATATACTTGTAGATTAACTTGTTTCAGTGTCTTTGAGGTCTATAAGATTAAGGCATTGCAGCTGGATTGGAAGTGTTTGTTTTATTTTCAGTGGCCTTTGTTTCTCTGTGGCTGGAGTTCCCCTTGTGTGGTAACAGACTGTTAAGTGGGCTGTAGAGGAAAAAGAATGGAGCCTTGTCTTTTCCTCCCCTCTGAAGACTGTGCCATGCTTTTCATTCAGGAAACTATAAATAAGCAATTAAATAAATGCACAGTACAGTGCTATGCGGTTACATATCTGAATGGAGCTCCACAAAAAAGCTGGCTTATTATAGATGCTTCAGTATTGTGTGGTGAGTCTTTAGTGACAGCTTTGCTCTACTTTTATCTTGGTTTGAGTTTTTGGATTTGCATGGATGAGGTTTACACAATTAAACAGAAGTTTATTAAAAAAATGTTAATGAGGTCTTATCAGTTAAATTTCAGTGTTGTGTTATTGCAAGAACCTGCTTTTTTTTTTTTGTTTTTCTTGTCACTAAAACCTTTTTTTTTTCTCTATCTAGAGCAATGCCTATACGGCCATGTCGGACTCATACATGCCCAGCTACTACAGCCCCTCCATAGGATTTTCCTACTCCCTGAATGAGGCATGGTCGACAGGTGGGGACCCACCTATGCCTTACCTGGCCTCCTATGGACAGCTCAGCAATGGGGAGCCCCACTACCTCCCGGACGCTATGTTTGGCCAGCCAGGCCCTCTGGGAAGCAACCCTTTCCTGGGCCAGCATGGTTTCAACTTCTTCCCCAGCGGCATCGACTTCTCGGCATGGGGAAACAACAGCTCTCAGGGACAGTCGGGGACACCGCAGAGCTCTGGTTACAGCAGCAGCTATGCCTATGCTCCCAGCTCACTTGGGGGTGCCATGATCGATGGACAGTCCCCGTTTGCGCCTGCTGCCAATGAGCCGCTTAACAAGGCACCTGGTATGAATAGCCTTGACCAGGGCATGGCGGGGCTTAAGATCAGCGGTGCTGCTCCTGGTGGTAATGGGGACCTGGCACCTAAGGTAGTTGGCTCTGGCTTGCCTGGTGGGGGTCCCCTTGGCCCCGTTTCATCTGTAGGACCTCCCAGCATTCCTCCTGTCTCAATTGCCCCTGCCAAGCCTGCCTCCTGGGCTGACATTGCCAGCAAGCCAGCCAAGCCTCAACCCAAGCTGAAAACCAAGGGTGGTATGGCAGGTGCCAATTTGCCTCCTCCGCCCATTAAACACAACATGGACATCGGCACTTGGGACAACAAGGGAACCGTGCCTAAAGCTGCCACCCCTCAGCAGGTGCCCTCTGTTCCCATCAATGGGCAACCACCCAATCAGGCTTCACCACAGCCTGGTGCTCCTGCTGCAGGGAACCCCCAAATGCCCCTCAGCAATGGACAGCTGGTACCACCTGTTTCCCAGATGGGACAGCATCAGCTTCCACCAAGTGGGCAGCCTGGTATGGCTCCAATTCCCCAGCCTTCTCTCTCCCAGGGTCCTCCACCTCCCCCAAGCCAACAGCAGCAACCTTCTCAGCCTACCCGTTGGGTCCCTCCCCGGAACCGGGCCAATGGATTTGGGGATACCAGTGGGAGTGGTACAGGCCAGTCACCTCCCACTTCTTCTGGTGTGGGTGTGGTTCCTGGGGTCCCCTCTGAGCCTCACCCAGTCTTAGAAAAGTTGCGTATGGTCAACAATTATAACCCCAAGGACTTTGACTGGAATCCTAAGCAGGGCAGGGTGTTTATCATCAAGAGTTACTCAGAGGATGACATTCACCGCTCCATCAAGTATAACATCTGGTGCAGCACAGAGCATGGCAACAAGAGGCTTGATGCAGCTTACCGTTCACTGGGTGGCAAAGGGCCGCTTTATCTTCTGTTCAGTGTCAATGGGAGTGGTCATTTCTGTGGTGTAGCAGAAATGCGGTCACCCGTGGACTACAACACGTCTGCTGGCGTGTGGTCACAGGACAAGTGGAAGGGTCGTTTTGATGTACGCTGGATCTTTGTTAAGGACGTTCCCAACAGTCAGCTGAGGCACATTCGACTGGAGAACAACGAAAACAAGCCAGTGACCAACTCTCGGGACACACAGGAGGTTCCACTGGACAAGGCCAGACAGGTGCTAAAGATCATCGCTGGATATAAACACACCACTTCCATCTTTGATGACTTTTCTCACTACGAGAAGCGTCAGGAGGAGGAAGAGTGTGTGAAAAAGGTAACCTAGTTACTGCTGAATAAAGTGATTAAGTAGATGGATGAAAACAATGTTCAGCTTTAACTTGTGTTGGGGCTGTCACTGATCACTATTACCAAAAATCACATTCACGGTTCAAACTGAAATGTAATTTGTTTGAATTTATGCCCCCCAAAAGAAGATTAAAAAGTACAGACATGGGCTTAATATTTGATTAAAAAAAAAAAAGTCATTGCTTCTCACTGCTTGGGCTGACTTATGCACTTAGCTAAGATATGACATGCTGCAGGGGTGGGACAGTTGGATGGGGCTGTAGAACAGACACTGCTCCACATGTTTAACTACGGTTCCTCTTTTGGATAACAAGATTGTAGGTGAGTCATCGGACGCGTAGTTGTATTTGAGTAAGGCATCTGCTTTTTTATTCTTTTTTTTATATTTTTTGCAGATTCAGCAAACTGTTTACCGTGACACTACTCTGGTGTCGTCATTGTCCTATCAGCACAGGTTGCTCACTACTATCCTGCATTTTGTCCTTGCAAACATGATGTTACTAACTTACTTTACTGAGAGGTCAACAGAACCTATAACCAGTCAAGCTGATGGTGATTTTTAAAAAAAACTCCTGGACCGTAAGGCAGAATCCCTCAAACAGCCTGTTGCGCTTATTGAAATAGTGTAAATTGTTGGATTCGAACGTGGCATGACAGTTAATGTGGGAAGTGACAGCCCTAACTTGATTGATAAAGGCACAGTATATGAAGCCAGTATGAATATATGTGTGTGTGTGTGTGTGTGTGTGTGTTGCTATTCAAAGTAATACTGGAACATATCAAGAATCGATAGTTAGGTAGAGATCTTTATCAGAGATCCCTATGACTGTACTTAGGATATTTATGATTTCTTAAGTTTTTCTCAACCCATTTTATCACTCTCATGTAATGCCTATCCTTAAGATGGAATGAGTTGCAGGAGAATGAACAGCACTTGGTAATAATCATTGTAAGCTGATGTTCTGAAATGTTTATATTGAGGGGTTCACAAGAGAATATTTGAAAATTGAATTGATTGGGTTGTATTGTGGTTATAGCTGTCAGTGCTGTCTGTTCTTGTCCACATCATACACTCGGTTGTATGCTTTGTCAAATTTTTTTTAAAATATCTTTTATGTTTTAAGATGCAGTTTTGGTATTTGATCTGTTCTGTGTAAACTGTCAGCATAAAGTAATTTAAGCTTTATTTTATTGTCATTGTAACATTGTGACACGTACAATGAAATTTTGTGTGGAGCCGGGGGCCCCGGGCCGCTGCGTGCATACGCACCGCCAAATTAAAGAGAAATGGAGCAAATATGTATTTCAGCTCTTAAAATGCTGCTGTGCATTGCCTATTACTTTTAAAAGAGATACTGTGTTTATGTCTTGCATAGCTGTATTACAGTTTATAACCTTTTACCATATAAAAAAAGACCAAATTAATGGAAAAGTATGGAAAGAAAATATTGCAGCTGGTTAACTTTTAGTAAATTGTCATTTGCCTGCATCTTCTTGCATCTTAAGTTTTTTTGTTTTTTATTCTGTAGATGTAGGAACATTTGGTAATTGTTAGTTGGTTATTTTTATTTACTGCACTCTATACTTGAGGTATGTGTCAGAAGAAAAGTGTAGTGCATGTTAAAGCCACAAAATGTGCTGCCCAGAGGCTTTTGTTTAGTGCTTAAGAACCAAGATGTATGAGCTCAAGAAACTAAGTTGATCAGCATGCCTTTAAATATTCTGTTTATAATACAGATTTTTGTTGGTATCTCTGCTGCTTTCTTTCTTGCTCTCTACAAGCATGACACCTGTATAAAGCAGATGTTACCAAATATTTGAATTGCAGTTGTATAACTTCGTTCTTTTCGGCTAATCACTTAAGTGTTGGAACTGTTTTTCCTTTATGTATGTTCTGTGTATATGCAGAATCTTAAGCATGACCAGCAATTTTCTAAAACAGTTGAATTATGTAATATTTCCTTATTTATGCTTGTGAACCAGAGAATCTTGTGACCATATTATTGACAGCAGTTAAATGAACTTTTTTTTTGCAGTGATGGATGCAAGAGCACTGTCAATATGTGAAACTTGAAATAGCAGATTTTTTTTTTTATTTTTATAAATCCAGGGTGTGCATTGTTAATTCAAATCATGCATGGCAGCTGTAGATTAATAAATAACTGGATGATTTACATATAATATAGAAGTTTTAAGTTTGGCATGTGACATTTGGTTGTACCCAATGTGTGATGAATGTTGAGCAGAGTTGGAATTTGTATTGTATGACATAGGGGCGGTTAATGCAACATTGCCAGACTCGAATCAAAACCTCTGATATCAGTAAGATAATTTTAGAATAGCAAAGTAATCTTTGGTCAAACATGACAAATTGATTTAGCCATACCAACTTGTTTCTCTTGACTCGGACGTTCCAGTTTTGCTCAGTTTTCACTGCTCTGTGTGGCAGGGGGGGGGCCCGGGGTATCCCAGTAACCCAAGCAACAGGAGTCATTACAGGCTTCAGGTAACCTGCTTCATCTGTCACCATATGCAAAAGCAGTTTACATGTAATTTTAATACCTTATGAGACATCTTGATATATTTTCAGGTACTCTGTGCTTTAAAAATAAAATTTGTAGGGTTAGAAAAACTATATGCCGTTTTGTGTGTATAATTTGCTTTCTTTTTGATTGTCTAGGAGCGCCAAGGACGAGTCAAGTAACAGTTGGTGCTTTCGTCAAAAGACTGCAATGCCCCCCCCCCCCACCATCATTACATCCAGATCTCTAAGAATTTCTAATAGGGGTGAAGAATTAACCAAGGACAAAAAAAAAAAAAATTAAGTGAAGACTTTCTTGATTTCTTTTGACTTTAAAGACTTACTTCGAACTTGTAGTAAAAAGAAAAGGAAATGATTATTCATAGGACTGCAACTAAATGCATAGCATTCTTAGATGAAACATTTTTTGCCCCACCCCATTCCACTACATATGCCTTTCCCTTGTATGCTGCTTTTTCCTTTTTTTTTTTTAAATGAAAGGTTCATCCTCTGTTTTTATGGTCCAAGAGCAAGTCTGTAATTCTCACACAACACCAATCAAATACAAATTTATAGTGCTGGCTCCTAGTGTCCCAAAGTCAAGAATGGACAGTTTCTCATTTTATTTGTAAAACCTCAAACCCACTCTCCTGTCTTCTGAGGATGCTCACATTTTCATCTGGGACCCAGTGGAGTTTCTTCCTCAGTGGATGTTCATCATAGGCAGGTGTCAACGTTACTCACTCTGAAATCTGTTTTATACATGCTTTCGGTTGGGAGGACTGCAGGTGTTTCAAAATGGCCCTTAATTTTGTTTTTGCGTGTTGGGTGGAGTGTGTGGGGGGGGAGGTAGGATTAGGAGAAGCAGAGAAAAGCATCAAGAGTTTGAAAGCAGAAGTGTTAAGTTAACAAGTCTTGCTCGATGTATAATTTTATGGTCTAAAAAAAATGGGGCCCTCTAAGTCTTCATTGGACTTTACCCTATTTTCTTTCTCTTGGACAAGTTGATTCATCATTGCTATGGGCTGCTTTGTTTTTGTTTTTGTTTTGTTTCTTCCCTCAGTTTTCTAAAGGCAGTGATGTGAGTGGCCTTGCCCCCACTCTTTCTATTAATCAGTTCAAAAGTAATAAATGTGGTATATTCAGCAGAACTGGTGTGCATTCCCCTTGTTTGATTGTGTAAAGCAGTGTCATACAGTGTCTGTGTTCACTTAGTCTTTTCATTTTCTTATGACTTTCTGCTAACCTTCATACTCGACCTGTCTACTCCCCATCCTGACTTTCACCACAGTTCTCCTGCATTTCTTATCCATCTGCTTTGCACACTTGCCTTGTCCTCCAGTCTTTCACTTCTGACTGCTCAGCCAACCATACAGACTATAATATCACAATCGGCTTCACTATTTTCAGAATGCTATTGGTGGTGAGTTTAAAAGAAAAAAAAAATGCAAGGTCCTCTTTCAGAACTACTGGCTCTTATTTGTGGCATAATAAAGATGCTGTACAAAGAAGTACTGTTTTTTTTTCTGCCATCTAGCTTTTTTGTTTGTTTGTTCTTGTTCCTGTTTGTGTTGTATCGTGGTGACATCAGTTTTTACCATGCTGCATTTCATCCGTTTTGTTACAGTTTACCACTGTAACATGGCCTTCTAAAGTTTGTACAAGTTATTTTTGTAGAAGGGAGTATTGGACGTGTATAATGTAATGAGTGGGCTAATTTATACATTAGCACATCAGTTACACCTGGGTCAGGATGAATTTTTATAAGGCCAAATTTGTGTCTGAATGCTAAGCAGTAATCTTAACCTGACACACTCGGTGTTCCGTTTAGTATGGTTCTGTCTGAGTTGTGAACTTGTAGTAGCCTATACCTGCTTGTGTACAATTGACGGCTGGGGAACTCATCTGCAGCCCGCCATTTTCTTTCCTCATCAGCGTGCTGGAGCTGAACGTTTTTGCCACAAGAGGGCGACACAGCATTATTTACTGCTGTTCCTTTTCCTGTCCTGACCGGCGGACAGGTTCTTCCACAGCCTGGGTTAACGCGTTTACAAAATGGGTCACAGCATTAAGATATTGATTGGGTAGCCTATATTCCCCTCTGGATATGGCTATTTCTTTTTCCCCTTTTTAAATATTCTATATGTAAACTGCATTCCCCAGAGTCATTACTCTGTCAATTAAGGATTATGTCCTATATTCTCCCTGAGTTTGTGCGGCCTGTAAGCCTAACATTTAGGCTGCCCTTATGACTTCAAATGTAGGCCTACATCTTTTGTACAGGCTATGATGCGCTGTCCTAGGAGGTGGTTCACACGTTCATTTTATTAAGTTGTATAAATTATTGTTCCTTGATAGAGGATGGGATGGTAGTCTACATACCCTAACCACAGCAAACAAAGATTGCATTTAAAATTAATACTCTAATACTAAAAATAATAATTGGATCGAATTTAATAAAGACAGGCCTGTGTTTAAAAGCTAGTTCAGTCGGCCTATAGTGTTCGAACTGGGATAAGAACGTTTGGAGCCGCTGCGGCGCGCATCACTCAGCTGCTTGGGACTGGAGAATAGGTCGTTGAGAAGAAGTGCGTGTGTCGGAAGGGGGGGTCGACGGCACGCGTCTGTCCGCACAGTGGGTGCGTGGCAACCACGCTGCCTCGAGGGTATCTCCTGTGACCCTTATCTGCGCGTCTCTGGGGACGCCTTTTAGCCCCTCCTGGGATGCAAATGAGCGGCCATAAAAGAGAGGCAGATACAGCCACCGAGACGATGGAGGAGAAGAAAGGGAAAAACCACCAA